GTGTTAATGTGGAAAATGCACAGTGAGGTATAAAGGTTTCAAATGCTTCCTGGATGCAGTCAGCCATGTTAAGACTCCATGTCTATAACAGCTGTATGTGAGATTTATTGTCCAAACAATAAACTGCAAAATGACAGCAAAATAAAAAAAATAAAACTTCACAGATGAAATCACTGCAGCAGAGAAGAAGTGTTACCTAAAGTGCATTATTAGTCCTTAGTAAGCCTGCATCCGGACTGTAGCATTTACATTAATACTTTATGAGCCAGAAACAGGCGGGATTCCTCAGTTATTCAGGACAAGTCTTTACTCACATTGTCATTTCTAAAAGTGACTCACAGAAAAACTAAACCTTAGTTATAATCTGAAACAGACATCATTATTATTATTTAGCATGTAAATCAGCATGCATTATAAACCTGAGCTCATATTCAGAGATTCCCAGACTCATCTCAGAGCGCTGCCATGTTAGTCTAACAATTCCTGCCAAGGAGCTTCAGAGTGATTCACTCAGCTGCTGAGAAATTCCCATCTTAGTGAGGAGGTGTGGTTGACCCCGTTGCTGGGTGCAGTTGACCCCGTTGCCAGGTGTCGCACTGTCTTCTGGTTCCTTGTCTCTTACATCTATTTAATGACAGCTGGCAAATAAACTATATGTAAAACATACATTTTTTACAACACTTGCATACATGCAGCTTTCAGTACATATGGGCAAGAAACAAGTAGGGGATGAAATTAATGTTGATGCATTAGTAATCAAAATAGGACTTCTGACTACTGAAGGATCAAAGTCTCTATTTCGATTCGCATACAATAAATGCAGTGAGTATGACACCGATGATTAAGATATTCTCTAAAATCTAGAACTCGGTGATACACTTGTGATCTCATTTGGCCTCAATTTGCAACTATCTGATCGAAGCTGCTTCCTCAACCGGAAAATAAATGGCAGCAAGTTTACGGTAAGACTTCCTGACTCACCCAGAGAATCTGATAACGAGGCAGAGTTCATCTACACACACACATACACACACACACACACACACACACACACACACACACACACACACACACACACACACACACACACACCCACCCACACGCACACACACACACACACACACACACACGCACACACACATACACACACACACACACACACGCACACCCCCACACGCACACACACACACCAGTCTGCTCCTATCAGATCATACAAAACATTTTTTTAATCACTTAAACCACAGTAAGCTACTTGATGTCACTGCTGAGGGTTCCGACATTCAGCTGACATGGATGGATTTGCACGCTGCTGAGGCTGAGTAAGAAGGCTTCTGTGTCACAACAGGCAAACACAAAGCTACCCGTCCCCTGAGGATGAAGCAATTACAGAAGATCTCCAAGGATCAACATAAGACACACAACAAAACCAGCAACAGCAGTCCAACAAGCTGATGAGGTACCATTTCTTGTCTTGTCTACTCTTAAGACTCTATGTGACCCACCAACACAAAATAGTGCCAAACTCTGAAGGACAGGAACAAGGACACATGGTTTTCAGTCAATACTTGCCACACTTGATTGAACAGCACTCTGAGATATCCAAAGCTTGGGGGTGGGTTGTGACATGACAAAATGTTCTGTCATATATATATATTCTGTCATATATATATATATATATATTTAAATCTCCATCTATTTGATTTCTTTTGAAGAACTTAGGCTTTCAAAATTATGTCCTGTTTTTAGTTTTCCCTGCCTCATCTCTTGCAATGGGTAAAACATCCATCCATCCATTCTTTATCTTACACCCTTATCCCCAGTGAGGACAGGAGGGATGCTGGTGTCTGTCTCCTGAGGTCAAAGGGCAAGAGGCGGGGTACACCTAGGCCAGGTCGCCAGTCTATCACAAGTGGGTCAAACAACATATTTCAATTTGAAATGTACTGCCTGAAGGGAACGGCTACCTTGTTTCTTGTTGAAATATGATTAACTGGATTGGCAAGAGATTTGAGTCAGCGTACTGTAACAAGAATTTTAAGCCAGATGTCTTGCTGCCTTGGTGTAAAAACGGCTGGTCGTAAACACAACCTGTGGTAATTTAAAACCAGTTTGGTGTCAGCACATTCCAAACTATGTCTTTCATGTGGAATGTTGATTTTGAAAAGGAATATGTGAAGAGAATATATCTCTGACGTTTCATCCAAATCATATGTTCCACATTTTGTTCATTCTTAGAAGTCTTGTGAACAAACAGGACTTAGAACTACAGAACAAGACTCGTCTGTCACACCTGGACTGTAGGCACAAAACTGTAGACAACAAAGCTTGTGGTTTTCTTTTCGAGCTTAAGAATGCAACTGTATATACATTGCTAGTGTCTAAGATCTCGAGCAGAATCAATCTGATGTAAATAGGAGAAGGTGAAGGTCTTAGAAAGGAAATATATTGATGGTTTTAAAACATACCATTAACTAATAACTGAAAATTCTCATTTACTGGCTTGAAGAACAAACTTTTGTGGCAAATTACTTCACACATTTTTAGGAAATCCTGTGTAAGAGATACTTCTGAGGACAATTCTTAAAAACCAGTCTAAAGTTCAGTCTAAAGTTGAGCTTGGTTTCAGTGAAGGGCGTCACCTGACCCTGATCTTGTTGGTGGACTAGATCTCAAGTTGAGTACAGAAGGGAAGGGTGTCTGGTCTGGAAACATCAGGATCTCATATTTGCCTACAAGCCACAAACTTTAATGTACAAAGGGACAGTTTGCACTCTTATATCTGAAGGAGTTGAAATGAGAGTCTGAAGCCATACTTCTCTATGAGAAGGAGGTTAAGTTGCTCTCTCTCGGTTGAGGAACAATCTTTGCTTCAAGCTCTTGAAGTTTACGTATTTTGATGTCCTGTTGATGGATTAGTGCCTGGTTAAGTTCACTCCCTGATTTAACGCACCTGGATCAAAAGATTGCTCGTTAGAAGGCCTAAGAAGAACACTGATATGCTGAAAGGGTTGTTGGTACCAGGGAGAGAACTAAAACGTGCAGGATGTCGTTTTAGTCGAGGACCAACATTGGGGACCCCTGGATTAGTGCTGGTCCTAAATGGCAAAGCCCAATATTTATGAATCATGACTAAAAGGAATATGGTCCTAAATACAAAGCTGATAACAGTGTGAGGAGCACCTGGGCAGCTCGAAGCCATTGCTCCTCCACAGTAAAGGTGGTTAAAGCATATAATCAGGGCAACTCCTGAGAGAGAGCCCCACAATGAGCTGAAGGTTGTTAGAGGGGAGATCAATGTCCAGGTTTTCTTCTTGGACATGATGGACACATAGTCTGAACCAATATGCCCAAACTTTTTCCACAAGTCATAAGTTCATCTTGGTTTATTTAGACTGCAGCAATTCATAAGAAATCTAACTCAAACTTCATGAGGCCTATTTCAGTTAAATGGGTGTTGAAAGGATGAGTTCTTGCCGCCTTCTAACTGGTCTGAAAAATTTGATCAGGAGTGTGATTTGAATCTGTAATGGTAGATGGAAAAACATTTTGAAATTTTTGCTACATTGCTACTTTGCTACATTTGGTCTTCAGTATACAAATGGAGTCCCTGCATTTGCTTCACACGTAGCAGCAGTACGAAGGCGGAGCAAAGCCATTCACCAGCTCTGTAACTGTAAGACCAAATGCAAGAATTTTAAAACCAGTGTTAGGTTCACTGGAAACAGAGAAGGGGCAAAAATATCTTGTTGAAATGTGTGCATCCCAACGCTGATTTTTCTTTTCTCTCTCAAATTGTGAGAAAAGAAAATCTTCTCCGCTCCCCAAATTTAGCCCTTACAGCAGAACGCCCGTGTCCCGTTTTTCCATTGTATTTTCCGAGGTGAGGGTTAAGGGGTTTTAATCACTCTTACAAACTCAATTAAAAAAATAACTTCTCCACATAGCAGTTACAGAAACAACACAGCTTTGAGTTGTTTTTGAAACAGTTTAAAATAATAAAATTAGCTTCAAAATAAAGAGAGTAATCCAAAGGAAAGTGTTCTTTCTTAGCTGTTTTCTAATTGAACAGCTGAAGCAGCTTCACATTGTTGTTTTGCATTCATAGTTTACATAAAGATTTAGCTCTGAACATATTTATTGTATTTCCTTCTCTGTATGTTTTTGTTCTGTTCGACACAAGACTGGCATCCAATCTACCATGCTTGTGCTCCTTTGAGAGCATAAATAAAGGTTTTGGAATGTGGAAACTTACAAATTATAAACTGCTTCACATTTCGCAACAGCATTAAAGTGTTACAGTGTATTTTAAGCCTGGCGGGCCACCAGGCTTCACTTGCTCCCCCACCAGGCTAAGCGTTGTTTGTATACATTAATAACAGTGACAGTAAAGACAGATCAAGCTCGATACACAGCTGACGCCACGCATTGGACTGGGCACAAGGGCGTGTGTACCAACTGTAGATCTGCCCATTGGCCTGCTCATGCATCTTTGAATTTTTGTAACTTTTTACATTTTTTTAACACTCAGAACACAGAGTGCCTTTGCTGGACTGCCCCATTATCCAAACAGGGTTTCTGGAGGAAACTACATTAATGTGTTTTATTTGTAACTAATGGGGGTGGTTTGTGTTATGTTTCCTCTAAAGAGGATGATAGAAATTTATAGGTAACAATTGCATTGAACTCTGACATTATCTACAGGCAAGGTGATGATGGCAAGTCAACTTTATTTGTGTAGCACATTTGTAGCCACCTGTCAATTCTTAGACCGAAAATAAGATGGCAAACTAGGGAAAATGTGAGGTCACATTTTCTGATAAAGGTCGTGTGATCTGTTGGTTCTATGACGGTCGAATATTTTGCTAAATTAGATTCAGATTGGAACGAGGAGACGACAGAAGCCCAGCAAGCAGCTGGAGTGAAACTCTGACGTCATCTAAGCGGATCACGGATTATGGTGGTTAGCTAGCTAGCCGTTGCCATGATACCAACAGCTGCTCAACGCACCGTCGCGCGCGACCAGCATTCTGACCACTTCGAAACGGAGGCGAGTTTCGCTTTAAAGAAGCTTTAAAACGAGCTAAAGTTTCGTTTTAAAGGCGCTTTACAACGAAACGTTCTTCAAATCATGATGTAAAGGAAATGTTTTTACATTGCGATTTGATTACGTCGGCCTGCAGACTTTTCCGTGATGACACAAAACCAACCTGAGCTTGTCGAAGCAGGCGAAGTGAGACAATGGCGCTGCATTGTCAGGTATGACCCACAAAGACATAAAGACATTACTGATGCTCACCCGGGACAGGGGGACAGGCCTGGAAACGAGTTCCACCATCCCCGAATCTTCCACTAATCATTTCATGACTTCCTATCATAATTATCACGTAAAAAAAAATCATAATTATAACTAAATGTCACATTGAATCTCATATATGACTCTGAAGGTCGAAGTGATCCTGAATCTCATAATTATGACTCAGTCTCATAATTGTCACTTATAAAGTCTAAATTATTACTTTGTATTTCATGATTACGACTTTGTACATCAAAATTATGACTTTTTGTTTGTTTTTGGGGTTTTTTTTCATGTTGGAAATGGACTAATCTTGTAACTGGACTTGTTTCTTTGGTATCTACTGTTTTTACATTGCTTTTTGTTTATTTAACCAATTGACGTTCTAACTTGATCTTTTCAAACTATTGTCAAAACCACTGTGTCACAAAAAAACAAACAAAAAGTTTTTTAAAAAATCGACTTTTAGGCCGGTGTCAGGCAGGTTAAACCCTCCTGGGTCTAATTTATGTCCCATGTTTGTGGATTAGTGACTAAAGGCAGCCAGGTCTGGTTGGAATGTTCCGAATCTGCGTGAGCGCCCATTCATTGAGTGAATGTAGGTCTATTGTTAAAATTAAACTTGGGTTTGAGCGGCTGGTTGTAAATTAGTCGGCTGCCATCGCGGATTTTCCACTGGCGTTGGGTCTGCGCAGCCTGATGTGCGCAGCCCGAGACCAGACCGGTGGAGCCCCGGCATGTCACGCACTGCAGAGGCCCGTGCTGTGGCCTCTTGGCACCCCCTTCCTGAAGTGTTACGGAGGCGCATCCATGCTTCCGCGGGCGAGCGGCGCTTGGAAGGTGGGGAGGTTAGAGAGGGATGTGGAGGGGGGGGAGTGCACTGAGTGGACGGGCGCAATGGGACGGGGGCGCAACCTCCGCCACGAGGGAGGAAGGGAGGGAGGGATGGTTTAACTATTAGCCACCACCAAGCATTAAGACAGCTGTGCGGAGCCGGTGCCGTACATAAGGCGTGCGCATAGCGGAGGACAGCGTTCAGGCGGCCGCCCGGAGGCTTTGTGCGCACTCTGATCTTCTCTTCCCCGCTTCTTCCTCTCCGGATCTCTGATAGTTTGGAGGTAAATTTCTTTCTTGAGATCACATTTCATTCAACGGACTGTAGAGCACAGAAAGTTTCATTTGGCGAACAGTGTATGCCGTTTGGCAAACAAATAAAATCTGCATGTCCCTTCATTATAAAGAAATGACTGAGTGTTTTGTGGAGATAAATGTCATGCGTTTTGGACCCTTCCGGTGATAGCCGCGGTGACACTGAAGTCGGGCATCACAACAGAAAAGCCCCTCTAACCCGGTAAAAACGAGCAGTCAGAACAGAACAGGAGGGCTCGGCTATTCAGCCCTTGACCAGGAGAGCACTAATTTACGCCTTTGCCATGTTGGGTTCGGGCAGCGTTGGTCCTGACTACTAAGCAGAGGATTGCTTCAGCGCGGAAAGCCAACAGGCTGTGCGCGAATGTCGCAACATGCAGCCGGAGAAGGCTGTTCAAAGTCAGAGAGCACTGCAGGTCCGCAGACAGACATTTCTGATATAAGCTGTGATTGATTGATTGATTGATTGATTGATTGATTGATTGATTGATTGATTGATTGATTGATTGATTGATTGATTGGCAGACATAAAGCGATCTAGGTGAATGTTCGGTTTAGTTCTGAACAGGACAAATTCAAGGAAACTTCTCAAACTTTATGTATTAAACTCATTGATAAATTCAATATTAAACTGTATTGGTATAAGAAAAGAGTTATATTTACCATTCTGTTTTTTTTATGTTTTGTTTTTTTAAGGGCACTAAAATGCGCTTCAAACAATACGGATGACAAAATTGTCATTATTTTGAAATTCCAGACAGTTTTAAAGCAATTTCTCCTGGATAAAATTCATAGTAAAAAGTTTGCATTTTCAAACAAGATTACAAAATGGTCCTCCTTGAAGTTCCCTGTACTTCAGGGGGTTTCAAAGTGTGGGAGAGCTAGATACCCCTCGAGGGAGGCAAATCGGCAAACGCGAAATAAAACCCCAAACCTTTACCTCTAAATCAGGTTAGCAAGAAGTGCAATTAGCAATCAGCAGATAAATCAAAACAGTTAGGCTACTAGTCATGTTTCAAATTGCCATGTACATCCTGATCAAATTTCTAATTATGCTTTACATGAATTACAAATTAGCGTGGTTTACAAATCATATTGCGCAACAAACATGAAGTAATTTATTTAAAATACATTCAATGCTATTAGCATAGACTGGAAATAAGCCCAGACATCATAGTCACTTCACTAACCATGCTACCACGAAAACACACAATTAAAATAATAGATACAAAGTATTGGTCATTGGTAGTTCTGCCGAATTTTTAAGGACCCTTAAATCGTACGCCAAAAATAAGTAATAGTCCAATTTCAGGATCATAATTTGTTTTAAACACAATTTTATGCAAAAATAACTCCACAATGGAGTTCTGTTCAGTGAACATGAAAGTGAAATAATTGACAAAACAAGACCTTCAAACAAATCCCAGCATTAAAATGAACAACTTTCAACAAAAATCATCCAAACAACCTGAATGTTGGTAACTACATATCATGTTCTACGTTCCAGTTTTGGGGCAGGCTTCTACCAACGCCATTGTCTGGATGAATGGCTTGATTGCATACAGTACAATTGGCTTGGTGAAGTTAGCTAAATGTTCGCAGTTACTTTCTTTGGTTTATGTTTTTGTTCTCATGTGGCGCCCACCTTCCCCTAAACAACTGTGGTGCCTCGCAGGCGGGACATGCCCCACACCTTGGAAAACCCTGCTATACACTCTAAAACCTGCTGGGTTAAAACAATTCCACTCTTTCAAAAGTTTATTTTTAAGAGATTGTTAAAGTGACTTATATCTAGCTGACAAAGATTGAAAAGAATAACACACAACCTACATTATTAAATTAAACTCTAAATTTGGTTTGACAAGTTTTTGGTTTTAGTTTGCATTGATCTTAATCTGAAAAATATCTCTCTCCTCAAAACAATTATGTTGTTAGAGCTGTTTATGCATTCAAAAATTTAAAACAAAAGTAAAATAGAATAGAGCAGAAAAACCAACCAATTAAGAATGAGTGTTAATAAAATGCAAAGAAAAACAGCATAAAATCCAATAAATATTTGATCAGAATTAGAATCAGCATTATGATCCAAACATTTAGGGTTTGAGATTTGTGATGGGCTGATAGTTGGTCGTTTTTTTTCAGTTTAAACTGAAAAGCTGTTAGCTTCTCGCTGTAGCTTCTCTTAGCTACTGTAGTTTCAACTAACTACATAAAAGGCTAACAGGAACATACTGTAACCATTCCATAGAGTGAATCAAAGTCACTAGCACCACCTCCTGGCATTAGTATACTGTACAGCATTACTTGATCATTTCACTTCCTGTTTCATCTAGTCGAAAAGGCTCAATGCAGTTTGATTGGGTCATTGTAAAATTAAAAATGGCGGCCTCAACATACATGGCTCAGAATTTGATTTAAAATGACCAACCTCTGCCCCAACTCTAACCCAGCATGGAGGTTTAAACCCTTTACACATACTTGGCTATTGTCAACCCTCGAAGGTAAGGTTTCATTAAAAGGTATGGTCTTCAAATACGATGTTGATATTATGGTCAACTGCATCCTCTCTGCTTATGTATGTTTAGCAGCATTTTTGAAATCTGGTACTGGATGAAACTGGTTTAGTCTCATTGCAACAATACCAGAGATCAAAACCTGAACTAACAGAAATTCCATGTCCTACACAATGCTTCCATCAAAGCAATTGCTTAAACTTGCTGCAACCTTGTCACTTTTGTTTCTATTCTTAAAATTACGTTAGTATTTGATAGGACTCCATTGTGCAACTCAGCATAATTATTGTAAGGGATTAGGATTGGTCAGTTGAATCATGACTTCAAAAAATAAATCTGAAATACCAACAATGTTTCTTTGAAAACTAAATAATTGATGGATATGTTCTTTCCCACAGGTGACTGGCAACTCTGGTTTGGGAGGTGCTTTTCCACAGCTGGTAATTTGATTCTTATACAGAAGATCTTAAAATATCCTCTTTGAAAGGCTTCCAGCTATCACATGGCGTAAAAGGAGACATTTCCAGGCTGGTGCTCTGAGCAGGATCCCACACTGATCAGTGTCTGCAGAAATCAGGCTTCTTCAGTGTTTCTTCAGCTTGTACTGGACTTTAAAAGGCTGTTTACAATAGACCGGTGGGGGGTTAAGCAGTGAATCCCTGAGTCTACTGTTTTCTTTTCTCTTTTGTTTTGAACCATGATGCCTTTTCTTTTGCCGGCCCACCCCTAGCACCTTGCAGTGAATGGAGAACATACTGGTTCTGCTTCCGAAGCACCGACAGGAACACGGGCTCTGCAGAAGCACGGCTGCATGTGCCTTTCTGGACGTCTTTATCAATAGATTGATTTTCTCTAAATCTTTAGTAACCAGCCATAGTCCCTGTTAGCCTATTTAATGGGATAAATCAACTGGACAGATCAGGTGCAAAACCAGATCAAGAAATAAGTACCAGTCTGACTTTTCCCCCAAATATTGTCCTAAGGAATTCTTACATTTTCTTGCTGAGTGCACTGTCTGTCTAAGGCCTCCGCATGGTACTTTGGTCAAAAGAACAAGATAAACTCCCTGACATCAAGATGTCCTCGGGGGACATTGAGATGAAGAAGGAGGGAGGTCCCTTGACCCCAACCTTCCTCAGTTCTAACTGCTCTGTCCACCCGCTGATCCTCACCAGAGGCCCAGAAGAGATGAGCCCACAAAATGGAGGCGAGTTCGAGCTCACCGAGGTTACGTCTTTCACGGAAAGGATTGGTGAGACCGGGGAAAACGAGGAGAGGTCAGAGATCGTGGTGGCTTTAGACTGCCGGGCCAATGCCAAAGGTCAACGAGAGGAGGATGCTCTCCTGGAGAACGCAAGCCAGAGTAACGAGAGCGACGACAACAGCATCAATCAGAGCCCTGAGCCACCAGCGCCGCTCAAGGAGACATCCGTTTCCATCGGTCTTCAAGTGGTTTTTCCCTTTCTGCTGGCTGGCTTCGGAACGGTGGCAGCAGGAATGTTGCTAGACATTGTCCAAGTAAGTTACACTGCCACACAATAATCCAAAAAGTTATCATCCTAAAGTGAATTAGAATTTGTTTTTGCACTAGATACAAGACCAAATTATGTTCTCCTTGCATGCAGTCTCTTTCCACATACTGTAGCTTTTTACCACCACTCCAGATCATGTATGTTTGGTTAATTGGCCACTCTAAGCTGCCAGGACTGAATGGTCCTTAAGTGTGAGAGTGTGTGGTTATCTGTAATGTGTTTCTCTGTGTTTTACTAGTGGCTAGCTCACAATATACTGTGTTTTTCATCCACTTACTATTGGAAATAAGAAACAGGACCTGTAACCCAATAAGTATAAGAGGGCATACAAAACAGATGGATGTTTAAGCTTGGAAGTATATTGCTTAAAAGAGTTTAATCTGATCACTGAATTATAGTAGATGGTACATTCTAACTATATCAAGTTAGACTGGATGCAACTACCCTTGCTTACAGCCAGGTGCAGTTGATGGACATCTTTTTTAACCAATGTCTTTTTAAAGCAGACAATACACACCTAGACACACAATGAGAAGGGATTGTCAGTGGAACATTATAATCACATGGCTTATTGAGGCTTGCATGAGTCATTGCTCTTGCTGGTTGCTCTTGGCCTCTTTAGGAGATGCTTGGGTATTTACATAACCTTTTTCTGCTTTAGGCCCATGTAGTCTTCTCTCCAGGACTTGACCATGCTGGTAAACAAAGTGTTTTAATGACCCAACACAATCTTTAGTTTGCAGTTAGATGTGCTGGGAAGGTCTTTTTATTGTGGTAGGCAGTTAGAACTAGATCTCTCAAAAAACATATATTTTTTTAACCATTTTGAAAATGTGTGATTCAAGAATTACTTGGGCTCTTTCTGTTTGATATGTTTCAATTTTCCTACACAGGTCAAAGTCAATGTGACAGTTCATTTTTTTTGTAAAAAGTTAGCTTGTAATGCAGAAAAGCTGTAGGTATTAGCCTGCCAGGAGACCAGTACATTGTGTACACGCATACTGATGGCAACATGGTGGACCCTCAGAGACTTAGCACAAAGAAGAGGGTGGGGGATTGAGGGGGAGAGGGCAATAAAGTTTACTCTCTTTGAGCACCTGAAATGGCAGCACAGTGCAACAAAGCTAGAATCTGAGGGAAAAGCAAAGTACAGTGTGGGTGTCAGGGCCTCCATTATTGTGTGGTGAGGTATACTCACTTAACCAGGAATGCGGAGATTCGAGTGCAAAAAAAAAAGTTTTCATGCTGCTTCAGCATAGGCACCATGCTGTTGGAATTTCAGAAAGAACTCACAAAGAATGTTGTGTCGTTTTTGACTACTTTGTCACACTTTTGCCTGCAGGCAGTCCTGCAACTAGTGTTTGTTCTGAGTTTTCCAGTGAAGCTGAAAACAACTGAAAAAAACATCCAGTGAGTTCTCCTGAGCATCTAGCAGCAGATCACCTCACTACCTAATTCCTTCCTCAAGACACTATGAAATGCTAACACAGCTAATCCTGCCTGCCCTTGGTGGAGGGTGAATGTCTGTCTCTAAGTCTCTGTCTCACTGGTCTGATCAGACAGCACTTCTTAGGAATTTTAGTGAACTTAAACACTCCAGAGCCACAGAAATGTCAAGTTCATTCATTTTCATTAACAAAGTATAGAGATTTAAGCTTTGATACACAGATGAGTATGTCGGGGTTTTTTGTGTCAGGCATCTTTTATATATGATCTTGGTTGCTATGACCATTCAGAGTACATCTGGCCTCATTCCCACTGAAGGTTGGCATCGAAAGAATAACCCACTCTGGTTTAGAAGAGGAGACTTCTGCATAGTTTTGTTCAGTGGCCTGGCAGCTTCATGGCCTAAAACTGTCTGTTTCTTTGTGTCTGGGCTACAAACTTCTAAAGTTGACTGGTTCAGTTGGGCAAAAGTCAGCTAATGGTAGCTTTCCAGTGGATAATAGGTGGTTAAATTAATAAATTTCAGTCACAATTATTGGAGTGCTAAAATGAAGAAAAAAAAAGAACAAGGCTGACCAAAAGATCTGACATATTGTCGTGGTCATCTGTCTAGTCTGTCTTTGGCTGTAAAATGTGGTGTTTGGTTTTGTAGCCATAAAAACCCCAAGACCAGTAAAGCCTCAAAAACAAAAATCTAAAAATAAAAGCACCAGCAAACATAAAATCCTACTTTGCGTAGGACGCTGGCCAGCCCTTTGCTTCCCATTATTTTGGTCCAACCACATCCACTTATCTGGTTTTCACTCGGCAGTCAACAGGAAACCAGAATGTGGGTTTAATTCTTCCATAGAAAACCATCTTACCAACAGCTGGCCTCAGGGTTGTTTAGAGAAACTGAAAGGATGACGATGCAGTTGTGTCATCATTCTTTCTGTCTGATTATTCAAATGATGCTTGATCCTGATTGTGTAGATCAGATTATTAGTGTTATTAGTCACCAGAGCTCTTGGCTATGAAATTCTGATGATATCTATGACCACTTCTTGTTGTTCAGTATATGAGTCACTGAGACTGGAAGGATTAGTCTGATGTCCCCAATTCAGGCTAATCTTTTACTCTGTTAAGAGTTCTTATGAATCCTTGGAAATTGATGTGTTGCCTATTTTCCATTTGTTAGATTGAACAGATCACATCAAATGTCTACATCCGTGATGCAAACATTTCAAATGTGAAGCTTTAGTTTAAAGCTCACTTTGGTGGTCTTCTACAAGACAAATATTGCCACTCCAATAATTGCTTTCAAATTTTTCCACCTCAGGTTTTCTTACAAGCTAAACAGAACACCAATAAATTGGAAAATACTTGAAAAATATTTGAACATTTCAAGAGCATTGTTTGTGTTTACACAGTCACAATCATACAGCTGCCTATTAAAAATTTAATATTGTCACTTGTATCATTATCACAGTAGTACAGCAAAATATTGTGACAAAACTTTAAGTTTATGTTGCTCACCCCTGAGTAATGGACTCAAAAGACTTCAGAAGAAGAGTATTCTTTATTTTTGACTTTGAATTGTGAAACATGTTTGAAAACTAAACGCTAATCATTCTTGTATCACTTAATAATTGAGCGCTACTTTGTTCAAACAAATCCAAATAAAATTCAATATCATTGCAGATCATTCAAAGGACATATTATGACAAAATGTGGAGAAGGTTTAGTGTTTGGCACAATTTTGCAAAGCAAAGTATATTTGTCCATAAGGTTTTGCTTTGACTCCATCATGAATTCAGGGAAGAGGAAAATGACACAGACACCATATGGCCTATTCATATGGTTTATTTTCTGTGACGCCGAGATGCGGTGACACCTTCACATTGTACATCAATTGCACACATTGCAGGTCTGGCTTCTCTCAGTACAGCAAGTGCAGGGATCACAAATAAAGTGGAGCCATGTTACTCAACTGGGTAACCAGACCCTCGTGGGGGTTGCATACCAGAGCTCCTATAAGTCTGTACACAGAGGTACTGGTCTGTCCAGTGGAGTTCCTAGAACTGAGGGAGGGGGACCTAGATTGGCTTAGAGCCAATGTTCTAGGAAGACAACAACATATATCACACCGGGTGAGTCAAAGAGGGAGATAGGGGAGGTAGACAGAAGTAGATTGAGAGAGCGCTTGAGAGCATGCGGCTGTGAAAGAAGTGCTTCTAGGCTGCTGGGTCTGCAGGGGGCAGCGAGCCAAAGCCAGGGCCTGGCTGTTGAAAGGAGCTCTGCTTGGCCCGGCGACAGCTCCGAAAGGGTTTGAAACATGCAGAGGATCTGGTGCCACACCTACTGCACACGCAAACACATTGACGACATCACGTATCAGCCATGTGCATCTGCTGGACGCAACCCCCAGGAAGTGCAGAGCAGCTGTACTTCGCTTTCGTTTAGCTTTCCGAGAAGGAAGTCTTCTCAACGTCTGACTTTCCTTTCCTCTTCTGTTCTGTTTTAGCCGTACAGAATATTGATTGAGCTCAGAGTAAACTTGAGAGAATGTACAGGAGGCCCATGGGACTGGCCTCAAAGATAAGCACTTTTACTGCCTGTAGATCGATGTCAGCAACATCAGCCTTCTGGACAGAATAGACCACAAACCTGCTATCACTGCATGAAGCCTTAATAGAGGCAACAGCACAACACAACTGTGACAGGCCCAGGGACTTACAGGCAACCCAGCTCTGACGGGCTGGCCTGCAGCCAGGCAGGAGGTTATCGAGAGTCAGGCCCAGTAATATCAGCTCGAGGTTTCATTAAAATGCTAGCCAGCAGATCGAGTCACATTTCCTGACACGTGCTTGACAAAATGTATGATCCTCACAATCTGACACGTCTAAGCTGTCTTTAATATTTAGTTGTCCGAGTCTGTAGCTTTTTTTTCTCATCTATAAGATCCGGTTGAGGAAAGTATACAGAAAAATATGAATTCATTCTAAGGTTTGGAGTATTTAAGGAAGTTTATACAATGCCTGTGGAGTGATATCAGTAACACATTACCGACATCTATTCTAATCGGACTACGAACGCATTACTATTTCAAATCCAGTAATCAGATTAAAGTTGCTTATCCAAATCACTGTGCATTACTGTGTGTTACTATTTTCTTTTGTGTTTTAATTTTATTTCATCTGTGCTTCTTGGGGCATGATCGCCATTTCTATATGACAGTTTCAGCAGCGACAAAAATGTAAACAATGGAGAGATGTGCATTTTGTTGTTGGAAAAACAGGAGCTATTTTAAGTTTCCGTCAACATGTACAATTTTTATAAGTGGCTTTGGCCTTGTTTTTTCTAAAATTGCTTGCAAATTTAAATTGTCACGTTAGGGCTTGTTTTTGAACATGAAGTTGCTCATTTGAGCTTGAAAATAAGAAGAGTCACATAATAAGCCCCAGATGTCACCTGACATCCAGGTAGTTTTAGTCAGGCTCACCCGGTCCATCATTTCCCAAATGACTTGTCCTGCTGTGTCTTTGTTAATGTCAAAGACACAGCAATATTTGCTGTGAATGACGTCGAGCTCCGCATTGATGATAGTTATACAGAAGTTAAACCAAGACTGAGAACATCATAGGTTTTACATCCTGATTTGACAACAACTTCACAGTCTGTCCACCACCTCCATTTCCTCCACCATGGACTGGTCACTACTTCATCACAGAGCAACACAGACACAAACAGGGTAAACATGTGTACATGCACACAGTCATACCTAAAGATAGACCAGTGAACCTGACAGGCATGTTTTGGATTGTGAGAGGAAGTTGGAATAACTGGAGACCAAAAGTACCAAGGCTGGGATTCAAACCCAAGACTCTCTTGTTTCATCAACATCCAGTCAATGAAAGAATACTGCTGGCACTGTCTGATTCAAAAGAAAGCTTAGTAAAGTCGCAATTAGCTGAGCGACTTTAGCTCAAACTGCCAAAGAAGTCAATGCTAGTTTTGATGGAAAGGTGTCAAAATAGAGTACATCATTGTACATTTCATTACATATTGAGCTACGTATTGGCAGACCAGTAGGATTCCTATGCTAACCCCTTTCTGCCTATGAAGACCTGAAAATGGTTGGCCTGCTCTGAAGAATCGTGTTTTTCTTGGCATGATGTGCATGGCTGGTTTCATATATATTCGCTTCCCTAGGAAACATATGGCAACAACATATAATATGAAGAAAAAAAGGCCATTCTGCCTGCATTCTTTGTGCTGAGGTTGGTGACTGTTGGTGCTGAAAAAAAAAAATATGGTTCAACAGTTAGATAAAATTATAATCAAGCTGTTAGACTCATTGCAAAAAAAACTTTGTGCAAACAAGAAGGTCTCACGTCAGATTTTCAAGTCACTATATGCTTCACCAGATGTTTTGTTTAACTGAATCAACTGAATCTGTTTTAAAGAATAGATTTTTTTAAAACCAGAATGGTCATAACAAATGTACATATCTGTGGTCTTTGCAGCACTGGACAGTGTTCACAAAGGTGTCGGAAGTCTTCATCCTTGTTCCTGCATTGTTGGGGCTAAAAGGAAACTTAGAGATGACGCTGGCCTCCCGGCTTTCAACAGCGGTAAGAACCTAAGCATCTTTTATTCCACTACATGTTACTTAAAGCTTACCTACAAAACCTGTGGCCTATCATTGCTCAAATTATTTGGATTTGTTGACCTGAAACCACACATTCCTCTCCTGAAGTAACCCATTTTTTAATTTTTAGAACCATTAAAGTTGATTGTTCCTTGGTCAGTGGCCTCTTTGTTGGAAAGGAGATTTTCTTAACTACATTCTTTACCTCAAGGTCTCTGACCTTGTGTGGCATCGTCTTGCTATGGAAGACTGAGCTAAGTTGGGGGAAAGTATTGTGGGATAGACAACAACATGCCGCTGTTTTAAGTGCCTTCACTTGACCGGAAGTTTCTATGGTCAGATCTCAGCCATGGCCATTGTTGGGTGGAGTTTTTATATTTTCACTGAGCGTGAGTGGGTTTTCTCTGATTCCTCCCACAAGGAAATACCCAAGGCTGACTCTATGTCGGTCATGCAGCGGAGTGGTGAATCTGGAGACAGTGCCCAATTTAGCCCAAACAGGACTGGGAAGTGGTTACAGAAAAAAAAACTGGATAGAAGAGGCTAAAGTTAATGGTTCTTCTTTGGAAATCACTGAACCTGTTCTGAATGTGAAATAAGCTTTTAGCATGGCTTACTAATAGCAGCTGTAGCATAGATGCGTATTAGCGTAGCACTGTATGCATGTGCACAATCCCCACATTCTTACCACTGACTTGTGGTCTTTTTCCAAAGGGAAATCCTACAACCGCTAGACTCTGATGCCACTCCCATTCTTATTGCATTTGCTGAGGAAGGAAGTTGTTGTGCTCAGTGTCTTCTTCGGAGGTTTTTGTGTCATTTTCTTCAGACGTTTTTGGGGCAGTGCCACCACAGGCAAGAGAGTGAACAGGTTTTTCAAAAGGCTTGCTTGGTTTGACACAATGCTGTGCGAATGCGAACCGCAGCAAGTGAAAATGTAGCAAATGCTACAAATTTGGTCTGCAGCTGAACTAAATCTACCAGACCTGCATGCATGAAAACACCCTAAGACTTCGGATTTCATAAAGCTTACTAACGTTATGGTTTCCTACTGTAAAGCATATTTCTTCTCATTTGGCCTGGCCTCAACAAACCCAGGCCACTTTAGCAACATTATCCTACCATTTATCTGAATTTTTTTTTATGAATATCGATTCATGTGATGAACTCAACCTTGACAGTAGCAAGCTTGCAATGAGTATGAACATTTTTTGCTGCCTGGACGGTACAGAGCAGTAGCAGAAACACATATTGATGGGGAAATGCAGACTGATGTAACACCTGGGAAAGTTCCGGTAAATTTTAAAAGTGCAGAACTAAGTAGGCATACTGGCCTACTTAGTGTTTTACAAACATGTTAACACTTACTGCAGGATTTCATGAATATTTCACCAAACTCAGCCAGTCTGTGGGTTATGCTAACGCCTCACTGGGCCCTCTTTGCTGGCTGGGGCCCAGCAGGACCACACTTTTTCCATGTCACCTCTCATTATGAGCAGATTAAGACCACTGCAAGTTTCATAATGTGCTTATTACTGGAAATAATGTAATCCCTATTAGTGGCTGACTCTTGGAGTTCATATTTCCTTTTATTAGTTCCTTTAATTTGATTCTCTTTTGATCTTTTTTTCTTTTGATATGTTAATCATTTTAATGGAAATACAGTGCCTTGGAAGACTTTTCACTTCCATAAACTGTCAAATTAGCACCACAATTGAAATATTGCATATAGTATTTTATGCTATAAATTAGCAGAAAGGAAAGAAAAAAGATGCATGTGTTTTCCAAAAACATTTTGCAATGAAAAAATACTGAGTGACTTTGGGTTTGTATTCCTTCTCCTTAATTATGCTTTGTAAAACAAACTTTTACTACAAGTATTTGCTAGCAAGGCTAGCAAGTGAACACAACAATAATCAGACACCTATTTGAGTTAGACATTTTGAAAAAAACTGTAATGTAGTGAAGGCCTGAAAACATCTAAGAGAGCTGGAAGACTTTACAAGTTCAGACTTTGCTATGCAGTGCCATTCTGCACATTTTGTCCTGTTACAGCCACAAAGTGTTCCATAGACCAACACAAAAATAGTACATGATATGTAGACAAATAAATTTAGTTGACCTTCCCCTCGACTATCTTTGTTGCCTTCATCAGCTTTATCACCATAGCAACCCAAAAAAACTCCAGCATCTCCTAAGGCAGGGGTGAAACTCCCAGCACCACACAGAAACTAAAGTCAGTGATGCTGATTGGCCAAATGTTTGTTTTCCGTAGCAACCACACATGATTGACTATTTAGCATCAGAGTCAGTTGGTGAAAATATTGTATATATATAATTCAGTTTATATTTAATATACATTATTATTATTGAAAACAGACTTTGATTCAATAGTCTTTTAAATAATGTTTATCGATTATGTTTAGATATTTTTCCCATCAACATCTGGCTGCCACTGGTATATGAATTTCAAATTTTTACAAATAAAACTTAAAAGCATAGTGAGTGCTTATGTCTCAACCAACCTTGCAGATACACAGATACAAATTTTTGGCTGATATTTTCTCAATACAGTAGCTCAATAAGATTGGATTGAGAGCCTCTGTAAACAGCAGCCTTTAAGTTTTGCTTCAGTTTCTTAATTAGATTAAGAAGTGGCTGTTTCTGATACCTCGGGCAACCGCCCAGCACGGCATCTCATCAGGGGAAATATAATCTTTCTGAAACTTACCCCGTTTTAAATGTCTCAGAGCCATAATTCTGTCCTGCATTGTGTGTTCCTTGGTCTTCAAAGTGACTAATGTTTTCTCTCAAACCTCTGAGGATTTAAACCACACACAGGTAGATTCTATTTACTTGTAAAAAATCTTCTACTACACAAGAATATTGTGATTTTTGTTGTTTTGTCACAATGTTTGTGCTTCTAACGCAAAAGAATATGAGAGACGTTTATTGGGTGTGAATACTTTCATGAAGCAAGGCCTGAAATTTGGCTTGTGTTTCAGAAACGAGCCATTCTTCAGTGAAAGATTGTCCATGTCCCAATGTCTAAAGTCTTCAAGAAATCACATCATCACCATGTAAAGCCACACTGTTTCTGGTCAAAAACTTGTTTACCTTTTTATTTTCTCTCTTTGCTAAACTCTCAGCCAAGTCCTCTTCTGTGATCTTGAGACGATAAATTTGGGCGGACTGTGGCATAGTTCACGTAGTTCACGCTCATCCAAACAGCCTCCACTTTTATCTGACCAGCCTGGAGCTTCTTATCAGTGCCTGTGGCAGTCTGTGTGGCCTGTTAGTGACAACTGTGCACCTCACTCCACGTCTTTATCCAACACCGACTCACGTAGATGACGTTCTTGGTTGTGTTCCACTACGACATACAATCTTGTAATTTTTGGGTCTGTGAGTCTGTTATGTTGTTGAATAGGGCAGTGCAGTGTTGAAAAGTCGATCATATGCAATGGTTTGCAAAACTATTCACATCTTTTGAAATATTTCAATTTACAATAGTAAACAGTGAGGCAATGTTTCTTTCGGGAGGATTTGACTAACATAAGCAGAGCCAGGTTTTGATGAGGAAAAAGAAGAACGCAATTGTCATTTTCTATAAATCCAATTTAAAAAGTGTGACTTTCTTTGCATACCACCTCCTCTCCCAGTGATATATGCTACAACATTTTATTTATTACCTCTGATGTGATCTCCAAATCATACTCTGCCTCTTCCATGACTCCTCAAGTGCAAGTATTTCATTCACATACATGTATTGTCATTCATTCAGTCTAGCATTAATTCACACACATATACATTTCTGACCTCTCATTCAGTCTAGTATGTCTGTTTAATTGAAACACTATGTATGTGGGTATATTTTAATAGTGTATATGTACAACTTTAGTCTTTTGTTTGGGTGTGTGTATGTGAATGAGTCTGTTGTAGTGTGTGTGAGAGAAAACATAGTTTTTATCCTAAACAGCCCCTCAGAAAAAACTGTAGATATTCTCTATCTTTCTTATTATAAGGCAAAAGTTGAAATAAAGTTAAGTTAGAAGAAGTTAAGGTTTTTCTAACTTAACCATGCCTTGTGGAGTTTCTGGAAAGCGGCTGAATACTGTTAAAAGCACTGCAGACATTTAAGAGCATTCTCATAGCTTCGCTACATTTTTACCCAACTTTGCCAAGAGGAGGTCTTGCAAGAAAGTTCCACTGCATTCCCATTTCTTTCTCAAAATGTGAAAAAAAAACAAGACATTCTTCCCAATGGGAAAAACTGTCAATAGCTCTTATATCTTGCTGAAAAGTTAATAGTAAGTTAGTTTTGTGTTGTTTCAAGTGTACGAGGATATTGATGTTGCATGACTTTGTGTTCTTGTGTTTCTGATGTAAAGCACTTTGAAATGCCTTGCTGAAATGTGCTATACAAATAAAATTTGATTGATTGATTGATTGATTGACACTAGAAACTGGACTTGGTAAGATTTTATGTTTTGCAGTGTGCTAGTATCCCTTTTCGTTTTTTCTGGTATACCAGCTGAGAAACTGCTGAAACATACTAAGCGAATACACTGTCTGTAGCTAAGCAACAACTAAACTGATGAACTCACACACACAGTCAGCAGCCGAATGTTTGCTGTTGCTAAGGAGATGATAGCACAGCTCACCTAGTTATAATAGCTACATAATTAGCGATAAATTAATTGTCAAAATACTAGTGGAAACATGCATTTATCTTTGATTATTAGTTTAAAATCTTTGTAGTTGAAAAGGCATTCTAATCTTGATTAATATTTTTAATACTGTTTCTGGTCATTGAAACGATAAGATTACTTGTACGTTAGCCGGTCACACTAAGCAATTAATCAATTAATTGGATGAAAAATTCAAAATTGGAATGGAATGAAAAAATCTACTTTCTGATGATTAATGTTTCTTGTCCTTTTCGAAGTACAATTTTGTTTACAGAGACATCGTCATTCATTTTATCTATTGTCTCAGTTGTGTTTAGTCTTTAAGTTCCTTTTTATTTAATGGTTTTAGTTGTGTTTTGTGTTGGATATTTAAAATGTCTTCCAGTTGCAGTGTGGGGTGTTGTATAAAATTAAAGTTAATTCATCTTGTAGAAGGCAACCTTGAATTATTATGTCATTATCTATATATTAGTTGAAAATGATAAAAACAACAATGTTAACGTTTATTGCGATAATTTCTGGGACTATTTATTATCAAGCAAAATTTGTTATTGTGACAGATCCACATATAACGTGAATCAGCCGATTCTCTACTTTGTCATGTTCTGCCAGATAAAAATCCCAGTTTGGTGTTTAATCTAACAGTTAATGAAATGTGTGTGTAGGTTGTGGATGTGTTCACACCTATCTCTCATAGTTCCAGAACCCCTCATCATACCCCAGCCCCTTCTCCTTCCTGTACATCTGTAAGCAAGAGGTCAGGATGGAAGAGCAGGCCGTCTGTTTGTATCCTCTCACTGTGGACGGCGTTTGGATCATTGCTCTCCGAACACACAGTGGGCCTCTGTGGCCACGGCCACTTGACTCTTGAGACCATCAGTGTGTGTGTTTGTTTGAAAAAAGAGATGACATAAGTGGACACGGCATCAGGATGGGGGATCAGATCAGAGAGTCTTTGTCCTGACTACTGACACTTTATTGTTCTCATGGGATCAGTAGCTTGTGTTAGCTGTAAACCACCCATCAACACACGCACGCAAACACACACACGCAAAGAAAGATAATAAGCTCTGTGTCTTTCTCCTTTTCAGGCTAATATTGGTCAGATGGACACAGCCAAGGACATGTGGAAGATGATCATGGGGAACTTGGCTCTCATCCAGGTAAATGTACCAACGATGTGCTTAACCTCACGATACAGGACGTATGTTCTAAACAGTGGGTTTACTTACATCCACCTGACTGTTCAGGGTGACTCACCACAGGTTGTTGACTTCCCAATAGAACCAGTGACATTATACGGAAATAGGCCGAATAATGTCTAATTGCATATAATAGACAGTAGTATATGCAAAGTTTGTTTTTGTTTTTTTCAGATGATATAACTTACATTGCTTTCCAAAGGTTCTCATATCACTTTAAGTTTATTGTTTTTTTAAAGATTTTGTCAATTTACAATACTAAAATTGTAAGTTGAAAAACATTTTATTGGATGTTTTTCTTACACAACAGAAAGTAGTTCCAAATTTAAGAGTGAAAGGAGAATTAAGACAAAATTTTCAAAAACTGTGGCGTGTCAGCATCCTTTACTGTGACATTTGAAACAATCCTCTGCAAACATTGGCTGTTAGACTTTTCCTACCGAGTAAATATTGTCAATATCTTAAATACAGCTGCTCTGTGAAGGTATGAGTGGCAAGAAAAAAATTCATGCTTGAGAAAAAAAGGCTTAGAAGATTAAGTTTGCAGTTCGCTACAAGACGTATAGGGACAAAGCAAACATGGAACAAGGTGTCATAATTATTCAAGACCATTTGACTCTCTAGTTCTAAATGCAGGATCCACAAATATTTCCTCCGTTATGTGTGGAGGAAATATTTCTAAGTACCTCACACTGTATCTCATCATGATCGCAACATCTCCATGGTGAAATATGATGACGGCATCTTCATTCCGCTGGGAATCTTTTCTCGAGTAAAAACAGGAAGAAAAGCTGTTTGAGGTTTCACGTTCAGAGTGGGACCGAGGTTCACTGTCCTGCAGAGAAACTCCTGTAACTGTACAACCAGAGCTTAAGGTCAAAGCATGTTTATGTGTCAAAGTTAAGGATAAGTTCAGTTGACAATTGTGGCACTTGGAAAAAACAAGAGAGGAACATTTGGTGATGTAGCACTGTGTGAGTAAGAACCAGATGTCTCCATCGTGATCCTCAGTACAATCAAAGTCAGAAAACAAACTTTATCTTGAATAAATATATTATTGTTGCATTATCAAATAAAGCAAGCTGTGTTATCGCAAGATAATAATCTTATATAACTCATTTCGACTTAATGATAAGTTCATTGAAGGCTAACCTATTTTTCGTTCCTATTTTTTCCTGTTCAGCATATTTACTTTCCTGATTGGAGCAGCTTCACTTGAGAGTTTTAGAAATTGCTTTGGGTTTATTTCAAGTGGAATAGAGATGGAAAAGAAAGGGGGAAAAAAGAAAGGGATGAAGATGGGACAAAAAGTTAAAGGCGACAGAAAGAGAAAAGAATAGAAGAGGTAGACGACGAGGATAAAGAGAACACAGTAACACCCCACAAATCTGCTTCTGTAGGCTGGCCTGTAATAACAGAATAAACAGTGTCTCTAGTTTTGATTTCTGTGGAATGCTCTTCACTCTGCTGCCACATGATGTATGGATATGTAATATTTCAATGTCCGTCGTGTTTCCAGGAACCCTTAGAGTGTAACCTCAATACGCTTCAAAAAGGTGAAATCTCACAGGGCGACCAACAGGTGCTTGGGTTCACTTACAGCTGCTGATTTGAAAAAAAAAATAATAATTTTTTTTAGCCCACTAGTTGTTGTGGTAATTCCATAGTTTTGGGTACCGACACGTTCAGTGAGTGTACTGTATGGGTTCAACACTCTGCTGGGTTCACGTTGATTGATTGAAAGCTTCTCCAGTGAAACAGGATAGTCTCATGCATCTGCACTTTAAATGTTAGCTGAAATTAAATCTACATGAGCCACTTTAATTTGTGTGTGTGTGTACGCGTGGGTGTGTGGGTGTGTGTGTGTGTGTCTGTGTGTTTGCATGCAGGTCCAGGCCACAGTTGTCGGGTTCCTGGCTTCCATAGCTGCTGTAATCTTTGGCTGGCTCCCAGAGGGACAGTTCAAGCTGGGCCACGCAGTGCTGCTGTGTGCCTCCAGCATGGCCACGGCCTTCATCGCATCGCTTCTCCTGGGTACGCTCGCCGCACGGGAACCTGCTTGTTGTGTTCACTGTGTGAAAGCTGTGTCGTCAGACCAGTCAGATTTATTGTCGCTCTTTCTGTCCCCGCCAATGGAATTAGACAGTTATTGTTCCTCAGGGAAGCTTCTGATGGAACCTTGAGCGTGTCTTAAAAACACTGACGAAGGTAAATGCTTCGAAGGGTTGTCCTGTGAAATTGTAGATCTTTCTGACACTGAACCCTTGTTGTTTTTTGAGCTATTCAGATGTAGATCTGATCTTCATCCTTTAGCAAAGCTTAAACTTAAGGTCACAAGCTTGAAATATTCTCCTCAAGAATTCTCTCCTAGAGAGCAGAATTCTTCATGCTTCAACAGGTCATCTGCTCTCTGGCAGGAATTAAAGTATGACTTTAGAAAAATGAGGCAAACTGAGGTTTTGGATGGATTGACTGTTTTTTAAACACCTCTTCAAAGTGCGATGGACTTCAAGCCAAACAAGATGCTGTGGCATGACCTTAAATAAGAGATTCATGTTTGAAAACCCTACAATGTGGCTAAATAGAAAAAAAACTCTAAGACAGTTGTTGCTAGCATTTCTTTGTGACCGTTGCCACCAAGGATCATAATAATAGCATGTTTATTATCTATTGGAGTATGTTGGTTGTTCACGTTAATTGTATTGTCTGTTTGACACAAACCTTTAGTTGGTTGGGGAGCTAGGTAGCAATGTCTTCCTGGTTCTGACTCGTTCGAACTCTAAACTCCACAGGTCTCATCATGATTGGAGTGATTGTCGCGTCGAGAAAAGTCGGCATCAACCCGGACAACGTGGCCACACCCATCGCCGCGAGCCTTGGAGATCTGATTACCTTGTCCCTGCTGGCAGGCATCTCAACAGGGCTCTATAAGAAGCTAGGTAACACACAACACACCTAAAGAATGTCACAGTTAAAGTCTGCCTGGTTCATATAAACACTCTGACAGAAACTCTGTCAGAGCATCACTGATGAGAGATTCATTAACTTGGACTTTTTAATGATTAAAGATATTCCTGTCCCAAGCTGCAAAGATTTTTACAGTTTTAAAGAATTTCAATAATATGAATTGTGTGTCAAGGTTTACTTTATTGTAGCCTAACTATATACTTGTACACAATTCCACTTAGTTCTCATTTCCCTTTGGTACTCCATCTGGATTTTCACCCATTGAGCTTGATTTCTCTCTATATTTCAATGGTACATTAGTCCTCTAATCCTGGGAATGCTCATTATGTGATAGAAGGCTGACTTTGAACTGTCTCTATGTGTCTCTGAGTGTTCAGGTCTGAGTCCATCACTACAGCCATAATAACTAGCTGAAGCTACATGCAAAAATCCTGCATGATATTACCACCACCATGTTTATCGGGTGGTTAAGAATTTTTATTTTTCAAAAAGCCGATTTGACTCCTCTGTGAGTATTTCCTGTTATTTCGGTTAAATAACTCAGTCTTTGTTTAGTCTGTAGAGCGGCAGAACATGTCAGCCATGTGAGCAGCAGAAATTTACACCCACGATTGTCAATCCACAATGATGAAACAATAATTTTATTAACGTAACAGTTTTGTATCACAGCAGGGATTTATTCTTTCTCACAGTCATTTAGTTTGTTGCAATTTCCGGCTTAGATGAATCCTTCCACCACTGATAGAGCCAACTGCCAGGTAGCATTTAAAGACAGAAATCCTCATTAAAGCACAGCTTTCCAAACAGCTTTCAGCGTTCTCATCAGTGAGGAAGCGAAAGAGTGCAGCGGTGTGTCCAGCTTGTGTAAAATGTGGCTCTGCTCCTGCCTGTGTGAGGTAAATAAGGATGAAAGCCCTCCCACGCCTGATCTTGTTGTGTTTTTGGGTGAGAATCTCCACAGTTTGCCATCAGCACTGTGGCGGCGACTTGGCTGGTGACACACCCAGCTGCAGAGCTTCAGTTTTCACACCGCAGACACACAAACAGGCTTACAGACAAACCCACAGAGAGTATTATAATCTCGTAAGTCTTGTGTCTGTCAAGAGACTGTCCCAAAAAACAACTTCACTCCCTTTAAACACTGCACTGGGCTGCTATGCTGAGCATTTTTGGGATATTTTTTGCTCAGACACACAAACACAGCTGGTGTCTGGGACTCTTGTCTACTCGGATGTTGTGTTTTTGGAGGGTCTTTTTTTTTTAGATTTTGGAGTCTCCTGCGGTGTCAGACGAGTAACACTGCATCACAGAAGATGCAATGGTTTTTGCACTTGTATTTATATCACAAACTTCAGTGTATTTTTGAGATTTTAGGTGACTTATGTAAATTTGTGCAGAACTGTGAGGAAGAGATGTTTTTCATGGAGTGCCATTTGGAAAGATGACAATAATTAGTAGCAATAATTTGGCTACTTTAGTCTACCATAAGAAAAATACAATGAAGGCTCATTTTTCAGAGTCATGCTTTCATTCAGTTATAAATGTCACAGTTTGAATCTAAACATTTAATACTTAAGCTAAATATTTAGCTCCAAACTAAAAAAGCTAAATATTTGGCTAGTAAAACTGAATATTTAGTTGGAAAAATAAATAATTACCTCCATGTAAATATTTTTTTAGCGAAATAAATATTTTAGCTCCAAACTAACTTTTTTTTTTTTTGCCAGTGAAGGAAAAACAAAGCTAAGTATTTACTTTGTATAAAACCGAATATCTAGTTAGATAAACAAATATTTAGCTCCAAACTAAACATTTAGTCAGCAATCTAAATAAGGTAAATATTTCATTAGCAAACTAAAAAAGTTGTTACAACACTAAATATTTCCCTCTATGCTAAATATTTAGCTCGTAAACTCAACAAAGAAATAGTAAAAACAATAGTATCAGCTACCTGGTGTTAAAGATCAACGTGTCTCTTCCCATTCAGAGTACAATGACTACGCCAACCCGCTGGTGTGTGCGGTGTTTGTTGCAATGTGTCCTCTGTGGGTCCTGATCGCCAGGAAGATCCCAGCTACCAGAGAAGTCCTCTATTCAGGCTGGGAACCGGTCATCATCGCAATGGCCATCAGCAGGTAGGCACTACTGTCTGATTCCATTGATCTAAACTGGGTGATACAACAACAGGTACATAAAAACTCATCTTTCTTTTCCATTTTCTTCCAGTGTTGGAGGTCTGATCCTTGACAAGACAGTTAGCGACCCAAACTTCTCTGGCATGGCTGTTTTCACTCCAGTCATCAACGGTAAGACAATGGAGACAAACAAAGAATACATGCATTAAAGCCTTCACTAATATGTGAAATGGCTCACTCCTCTGTGTACGTGTGTGTGTGTTGACGTGGAGCAGGTGTAGGAGGCAATCTGGTGGCAGTTCAGGCCAGTCGGATCTCCACCTATCTCCACATGAACGGGCTGCCCCTGGGAGACCCCAATCTGGCGCCCAGGAAGTGTCCCACACCCTGCTCTTCTTTTTTCGGCTCCAGTAAGTCCCAGGCAGCACTCTGTGGTTTGCTGTACACACCTTTCACCATAAAGGGATCCCTGATGACCAAACAAGATGCATGCACTATGCAGCAGGTTCATCATATGCAGTGCTAATTTTATTCATCATGAAAAAGTATTTATCCTCCATCAGATTTCTTCTGGATACCAACCTGGCCCTCTAAACCTAGAGGTGGGCAGAGTCCCCAAATATTGTACTCCAGCAAGAGTCGCACAACTTTAGCATAATTTTACTCAAGTAAAAATAAAAAGTCGCCATTCAAGAAATGACTCCAGTAAAGGTCTACTCAAGTACTGATGAAATTATCAATCATTTAATACCAGTAAATTACATCATGAGACAGACCGAAGTGTAAAGTAAATTTCTCTATTTTATGGACCAAAATGACAGTAATTCATACAAGTAACATAAACATAACAAAATCAAACAAAATAACACTTTTCAAAATCAAGTTATTTTAATAAAAAAAAACTTCTGAAACTTCAACAAAACCTGTAGCCGTTTGTCTGATGAATTTTTGGTTAAAACATGTTTGTTTTTCTTCCAGTGGGTAGAGAACCCAGAAATTTTACTCAAGTAAAAGTAGAGATACTTCATTATTAAATAACTTGGGTTACAGTAAAAAGTATAGTACAGTAAAAATACTCACTAAAATTACATTTTTCCCCAAAAAGTTACTGAAGTAAATAAAATTGAGTAAATCTAATTAGTTTATTACCAAACTCTGTCTAGACCTAATGACGAGTTGTGCCATTACCGCCATCTGAGATTTTGTGGTGTCAGGCATTTTCAAGCATGATCATCCTGATTAAGGTCATCCCACTGCATTTCATTCAGATCCAGGTCCAGACTTTTACTAGGCCACTCCAAAACCTCAATTTAGCCATTTAGATGTAAACCTGCCCAATGCTCATTGGATTAAAGGCTGAAGATCACAAGTGGAAGGCCAGACATTTAGCAAGGGAGAAATTATACTTTAATATAATTTCCCACTTACTTTTTCAGTGAAGCACTTCATCCTTAGTTTTCATCCTTAGTTTTCATATCACCACTAGGGGGAGTTGTCATACAGTGACCTATTTTTAGTGACCTAAAAATCAACAAAAAAGAAAACTAAAGTCGAAATGATGTAGAATACATGACTTTAAATACTCTAGTTGCAAAGGTTGGCCAGGGATGTCTGTTAATAGGTCATTGTAGATGTTGCAGGAAGCAAAGATTGCAAGAAAACATTAAAATAATGGGTTTCAGCATCATCATTAAGAACCAGCTAACCTATGATTTATATTTTTTCTGTAATTGTGAAAACTGTGAAGTACCTTTAGCCTTTTTCTGTCTGATATAGCATTGTAAAATGTGTTCAGGGTCATTTTCTTTATATTATTTACTAAAAAATATTAAATTTAGGTGCTGGATTATCCTGTCAGCGTGTCATCACACAGAAGAAAGCTCTCTGGTCAGATGAGACCAAAGCTGAACTTTTTAGCCTTCATGCTGGACACTTTGTGTTTCAGAGAACTTGACTACCTTAGAAGCTACTTTTTAGACTCCCATTGTTCTAAACCAGTAAAGGAATTAGACCAGATGATATTTAATTCTACTTATCTACCGACCCTGAATGGATGTATCTTGTTTATTTTCAGTACTTTGAATCAACTTTATTAGCTTTTTCTTCTTTTGCTCTTTCCTTTGGTTTGTTATTTTGTATTTCCTTTTAATTCCTGTAAAGCACTTTGTATTGCCTTGTTGCTGAAAATGTGCTATATAAATGAAATTACTTTTACCTTTACCTTTCACAAACCTAAACTCCACAAATACTGGCCATATGCGCATGGTTCACAAAATAGCAGATTTAATTGTTTTTTTTTAAACAAATTATACTAAATAATAAAGATAGGAAAGCAAAGCCTGCGGCAATGATCCATGGAAGGAGAAGGATGGAGATTCCCAGGTTCAAGTGACGTATCTGACACTCAATCCCTCTTAGAACTGCAGGAGGGTTGAAACTCTGCTAACTGGTTTTTAGCTAGCTTCACTGCATACTTATGCAGCTAACAGAAGGAGCACCAAGGTGAAGTTTAGGAGGTTTAGGATGAACATATGTGCAGGACTATGTTTGTATTTCACTGGATGCAGAAACACCATGAAGCCATCCTCAGTCATGTTATCTCTTTTCTTCTCCAGCTGTGAACTCTCGCTCTGCCCGTGTTCTCTTCTTCCTGGTTGCCCCGGGTCACGTCATCTTCCTCTACACCATTAACTCCCTGAGAGGGGGTCACACCACCCTGACCCCCATCTTCATCTCCTTCTACCTGGTAGCTGCTCTCCTGCAGGTACACACACACCCCTCAGGAATATATCCCACTGTGAAACAGATAACGGCCTTCCGTCCTTCATAAACAAAAATAGGGTGTTTATGAAGCTGTATCAAAATGAAGACTGAACAAAAACAATCTTTTTAATGTCCTGTGAGCTATTTGGATTTGCAATGGAAAATTACATGCTTTATTTAAGTCAAACTGTATATGTTCTTTGCTGTTATCTTTCAAACCTTAAAGAGATCCATGATGAACTGAACTAGTTGGCCTAAATATGTTGGGATTTTCCAGCTAATCTGGACATTGTTGTTGTTAGTGATGCGTAAAAACTTGAAAAACTGTGTAACTTTATTGGTTTTTGGGGTTTTTTTCTACCTACAAAGGTCACCATTAGGTGTGATTGGCTTGTAATTTACTGTTCACTATGTAGCTACAGCTAACGCTGTTGAAAAAGCTAACATCATTTCCAGGAGCTACCAAAGTTAGCAAGAGCTAACACAAAACAGATTGGAGGATAATAAATGGCTGTTTTCAGTGACAATGAAGCGTGTTTATGTGTTTTAATACAGCTTAGAAAATATTATGATTCTGATGCTAACTGTAAGCAGCTTGAGTTAGAAAATGGAGCTCTGTGAAGCATACTGCTGGATTCATATATCCAAGTAGCACACGCACCAACAACAGCTTTTTTGTCAGATTCTTTCTTCTTCCTCTGTTTTGTCCTCCTCATCTTCATTTCTTCTTGTAATTTCTTCATTTCCTTCTATTTCAACATCCATTTAAATTGTAGGAGTTGAATATTAGTTATTGAGCAAGTTACTGTCTCTGCTGGACAGAGTGAGCACACGTCATCTACCCGGAGTGTTAACACTATGGCGACGTCGGCCCTACAGTATTACTGCTGCTTTCAAAGATTTTGTCCAGCAGGCAAATATAGATTTTTAACCTGATGTTTCATTGATGATTAAATTCACTGGTTGTAAAACCTGAAAGTAGAAAAATAATCCTGATACTTTGTGGTTGATTTCCAATAATAGAGGTTTTGTAATTGTGTCACTAAAATGCTTTAGTTCTTGGCAGACCGTGCCACGTTGTTGAATCTAGGCACAAGGTGCTTAAATTGTCTCTGCTGCAGGTCGCAATCCTCCTGTACCTGGCTGACTGGATGGTTCACTGGATGTGGGGCCGAGGCATGGACCCCGACAACTTCTCCATCCCATACCTGACTGCTCTGGGCGACCTCCTGGGAACCGGCTTCCTCGCCCTCTGCTTCCACATGCGTTGGTTCATCGGGGACAGAGACTCCAATTTAGGCAACTGATTACATGCAAACATAACGCACAAAAAATCCCCTAAAACTTACACATACTGTAAGCTTGCATGCAAAACAAAACAAAACTTGATGAACATCACCCGTATGCGTGAGTCTGATGGTGGACATCTACAATTAAAGGGCTGATCTCCCGAAGGGCTCTGGATGACGTGTTCTTGGCAGAATCTCACCCTCAGGATATCAGGACGCTGTTTTACTGTCGCCACAGCAGCAGCAGCATGTAAATCTTGAGTCTTGCTGTCACCATGGAACACAGACCTCTTCATCTCAACCCCCAACATGCAAAAAAAAAAAAAACTCTGACCAATGATAGATCCAGCCTCACAGGCTCCAGCGCTAATTAATCTTACCTAACACCTGAGTCCTACCACTTTTATTAATATTCTTATTCTTAACAAATGATGCATTTGGTATGATTTGATACCTGTTCTATGTCCATGTCAAGTCCTCATTATTTTCAATGGGGACGAAAGCCCTTTTGTTTAAAAAAAAAAGTAGCAAAAAAAAAGAGCACAAGAGCACAAAAAAACCCCACACACCCAAACAAGCCTAGAACGAATGCTTAATCACCAAGTGCTGTTGAATTAACTCTAAAATCATATCTTATGTCTTTGGTTAAATGCATTTGGTCTTTTATGCTTCATTACAGCAACAAAAGAGGTTCTGGTTTTACTTCAGGGGACTGGACCTAAATTCTTTTTTAGCCCAGATTCCAGGTCTTGGTTTGAAGATGCGCTCCCAGTGTTTGCTGTCCCTCATAGACTAGAAGAGTCTGTTAAGTTTTTGCTCATTCAGTGCAGTGAGAAATATTTTCTCCTTTTTCCTAATAATATCAAACACGCATGTCCAACATTCTTAGAGTCCTCCAGGAGCTCTGGTTTATCTTTAACCCCTTTTAGATTTATTGTTGTAAAATTTGCCTTAATGTGCCTGTTGATGCATATTTCATTTGCACCAAGGATCCCTTTGAAAGCACTTTGCTGCCATTTAGCTTTCAGATTCATTCTCAATTATACCTAGTTTAGGCTTGTTTGCATACTAAATATCTTTAGAATAAAAATATCTACTTAACTTAACACCTGCTTGACAGAAAACACACAAAGAGTTAATATTTTTTTAAATGATAAATCGGTTCAGGCATTAGCAGGTTTAATATTGGAACAGCATGTGTTTGGTGCCTGTATTCAGAAAATTCAGCCTTTCTGAGATAAAACATGGATATGTTTTTGTTTGAGCACCTGAGAGTTTAGTGTGGACTGCTAAAGGTCAGGGAAGATGCTTTTTTGTGAGACCAAGTTCCAAGTTTGTTTTCTTGGCCAGGGAAATCCGATAAAACAAAGAAAACTCAATATGACGCTATGCATAGCAGTTAATCCTGAGAGTTAATTTCAGTGATGGGCTCAAAGGTTCAAAGGTAGTTTGATGGAAGCATTTACCTACTAGAGCTTGGACATAAATTCAGAGGGAATATCTCCTTTGTAAATGGGGAAATAATTATTGTTATGACCAGATGCAAAACTCATTATGGCAAGGTTAATATCTCATTAAAGCCAAAATATCTTCTCTTTTAAGTAATAAAGGTCATAACAACACCTCTTTTATATATAGAAGAAAAATCACAGCGAGCCCCTTCAGGCCTTTTTAGCAAGTTGTAATTTGCCAGAGGAGCGTATTTTTTCTTCTCACCAAATTTAATAATTTTCTTATTATAGCTTACATCTTCCTAAAACAAGAAATTTTCTGATCAAAGCGAGAAACTTTCTCTTTGTAAGATCCTGAATTGATTTCCCAGCTTTGGCAGTTAAAAGGTTTCTGTAGATCTGGGTGTTTAATCGTGCCTTTCTAAAATTGCTAGGACATGCTGACACAGTGGTTCATCAGTCTGACAGCAGATGAAAGATTCCGAATTTATATTCTCTGTGGAAACATAGGCCATTTTTGGCAGCATACTAATTAGTATTTTTATTTTTTTATTTTTTTGTTCTTTTATTTATTTATTTTTTTACCGTTAAGTAATTTTGTCAGGCATGGGCTGGTCACCAGTATCAAAGCAGGCCTAAGTTTTAGAAAGTTCAAAATCACAAAGAGTCCTTGTCGTATCGTTGCCTTGTGCTTAAAGTTCTTCTGCTGTGTAGCCCAAGGAGAAATGCAGAGCTGGAAATCAACAGTCAGATAAGTAACAGGCAGTGAAGATGTGGGAACTAAGCAAGCCCGACACACACCTCTTTCTAACTCTTTAAAACTCCAGCTTTAAAAGTACATTTCATATAAAATGTTTAAATAAAAGCAAATAGATTACTTCAGTCTAAACTGAAATTCAACTACAGTGAAATTGGCATATTTTTATTTCAGGTTATCGTACCATGAGAATGTTATACCAGCTTCTGGCTAGTTTGAATGTTGGTTTTGCCCTCTGCTTTTCATTCACAAAATGAGCAACGTTTCATATTTTTTCAGTGACTTTTGTTCAAAACCAGTGTTCAAAACACCAGCTGATAAAATGTCTACTTTTTTGAAGGCACGGAGCTAAATCCGTTCGCTCCAATGAAATTGCCTGAAATAGCTTTACTGTGCTATGGGAACAAAGAGCAAGAGTCCAGCAACAAGCTAGCTAACTTAGCTCATGTTGCTCTTTAGACTGATAATTCCTTCTGCTGCTATAAAGCTCTTAGCAATATAAAATATGGGTTTCAGACTGTTAAAAGACTGTAAGGCATCTTTAAAGTAACTCATGGGACTCATTATATTCTTAGCAACTACTAGCTAGAAGTTAATGAGATCGCAGCTGGGTGTTTTATTTTTTTAGAAAACTTTTTCCTCTTTCAATATTGTTTCTACTGAAGTGATCTCACACTACACAACATGCTAACACGAATGTCAGGTAATAAATCATTTTTTGATAAATGACTTATTACATTTATTAAAAAATGTAGTAAGTCAGAACACCAAGATGGGAGACTTTTTTCAACAATGCTAAGTTGTTAGCATTAGCAACAACTCATGTCAAAAATAAACAATTTTTGAGAGAATATAATAAACGTTGACACATAAAGATACTGATTATTTATACAAAGAACTTATAACAAGAAACCACATAGTGAAATAACATTTTATTTATTTAACTCAGTAATGCACAGTTAAATAAATAAAAGTTGATTTTGTTGATGCTGTTGTCCTATTCTATGAACAGTGCCAGTTTTTGTTGTGTCTTTCATTTGTTTTCTTTTGTAAAACATAAATAGGATCTGCTAACATTCATCTGTATGGTATGGAATGAATCCAAACTCTTGGATGAAGTTTATTTAAGGACAAGAATCTTCTCTAGTGTTTTTCTGTTCCACTTTAGCGTATATATATATATATATATATATATATTCTTTTTCCTACCGCCCTCCACAAAAGGCCTGTCATCAGATCAGCTTTCCTGTCTTCAATGGCCTACGGTTGTTCTCTATTTCGACAGGCTTCCAAGTAGAAATGATAGCGGAGGAGAAAGCGTCATGCGATGTTTTACTTTTAATTGTTGTTTTTCTTAATGGGGCCAGCAAAAAGCACAAGCAGAGCACATAGTGCGAATGTGCAAAAATTTATTTCAATTGTTAAAAATCCTTTGCTTTGTGGTCTTAAAGATTTTTTTTTATGTCAGGTGTTTTGAGCTTGTTTTCTTTTTATATGTATATATATATTCCATTTTTTTGTCCTCATTTTTTTATCTCTCAGAGATGATCGTTTTGTGTTCTTAAATGAAATCGCGCATCCACTCAAAGAACAATCTTTTCTGTGCCATCTGAATGCATCGATGTACTGTAGTTAGAAAATCCACCACCAGATGGCACTGTGAGGCTTAACTTACATAAAGAACTTGTTCTCCGTATTCAAATTGCCCACCCAGACATAGCTGCCACTTTGCCTTTGGCTTTTCATCCTTCCATCTGTCTCTATCAGTTTGTATCCTTGACACTCTTTTTCAAACCGGTGCCAGCATCCTTCTCTTCTTCAACAAAAAGTTGTGTATACTTCTATAAAAAGGCAAGAAATGCTACATCTATTTATTTTTTAGAAGCACACAAAGCAAATTGTACATACTATATTTATTCTATATGTAAGGTTGTTTATTTTGTCATTTTCTTTTGGCTGAGTCCGATTGTCATCAGTGTTGTCAGATTTCCTATCTGCAAATGGCCATTGGCCAGCATTTTGGTACTCATTGAAATAAGTATGACAGCACTGAGCTTAATGATTATCACAGTGCCTAATAGGAGTCGTCACATGAACAGATTATATACAGAAATGTCCCTCCTGAAATGAGGAACTCATCCGTCAATGAAAGCTCAACTCTTAGAGTAACCAATCAGGAGTTATATAAGCCACAGAGTAGAGTTTGTTTAATTAGATTGGATAAATAAATGATGTACAGTGTGATTATTGCAATGTGTGAATGTGAAAATGACTGCGGCCACGGACAGCAGAGGTGTGACTGTCGCTTTTTGTTCATGTGGCACCGCAGACATCTGGGAAACACTAGAAGTGAGCTTCCAGAACTTCCAGATAGAAAGTAGACATTGTTCCAACAGCAATCTAATAACACTCACCACCCAGCTTCTGCTTTGTATAACCAAGTGCTTTAAACTATTGAGCCCTAATAGGGAATCCCACTGACAGGCCGCCGGCATCCAGCTGTTGAACCGTAATGTCCACCCGTCCACTGCGCTGCCTTTAGGGACTACTGATGTAGACAAATGCAGTCTTGTAATGTCTGACGTCTTTTACATGTTTGTCTTCTAAAAAGCCCCCCTTCTGTGAGGCAGGAGGAAGGCTTTCTCTCTGCAGGACATTGTAATTTGCTGGAAATAAATAAATGACTATTATTTCATACAGTTGCTTTGTTTGTGTTGTTCTTTTGTCAGATCCGTGATCCGGATGCTGACCACTGTGTCCACATCATAATTACTCTCGTTGGAGCAGACGGCACGCTCTGCATTTGCTCCATTGTGCTCTGTGATGAAAGCCAGGAATTTGATCAAACTCATCAGATGGGATTATCGATGCTGTCATGTGTGATTGATTTACAGACCACATGTTTTGTCGTTTCATTTCTATATTCTAGTTGTGTTGAGACTTTTAGGAAAACATTGTTGAAATGTAGTTTCTGATCAAAGATAATGTAGTTCAAAATGGCAAATTTGCTCCCTTATATTTTTGCTGGGTTAACTTATGAATATAACAATTCGACCGTTTATAGGAACAAACACATCTGGTTTGTATCTATCTAAATGTTCTTTGGTACCATTTACTGTTTTTGTTGCTTTGGTTTATGTATTTAAGGCTTGTTTCTTGTTTTCTGATTACTTTCAGAAAACAAAAAAGTAATCTTGTTTACTTTCTTGTTCATCCTGCAAATCACTCAGGGTTTTTAAAGCCTGCTGGTTGATGTCACTGTAATGCTGATGAGCTAAATAAATCCACCTAAAATTTCCTTTTATCGGTTAAATTTGATCCAAACGTCACGTATCCTTAACTTTTGCCAGTAGAGTATCCCAAAAGAATTCAAGGTTTCCTGTCTGACTTATAAATAACTTTCCATTTATTCTGTTTTTTGTTTGTTTGTTTGTTTGTTTTGTTTTTCCCATTTACACCTCAAGAAATCTGTTGGAGACATTCAGGAGACCCATTCATCCCGGTGACAGATCTGGTCAAAACATCAAAACTAGTTGTTTTGGACTCAACCACCCGGCAGAGTCCGTCTGCTGGTTGGTTGGAAACTCGGCGCCCGTTACTGAGCGACATCTGCTTCAAGACTCGCTCTCATCCTGCAGCCCTGCTGACTGGCTTTAGGAGGCCTCCATGTCATCAGCTCATTTTACTTTTCAACTTTTAGCTAGTGTTTTGAAAATGTAAAACATTTCTTAGCAACGCTTGGTTTCCACAAGAAGCACATCGACACAATCACAACAGCAGATCTGCTTTATTGACTGAGCAGCCAAGGACTGAGGTAGATTACAAGGAAGTTCAGAAACCCAAAATGCATACATGTACATAATTAGAACTCTTTATTTCTACACAAGTGCTCAATGTAAATATTTTTATATAATTAAATACATGTAAAAAAAAAAGTTGTTTGGATTGAGTAGGAATATTTCAGGTTAACAGTGTAAAACATGTCAGTGTCACATGCAGTAAAACAGAAAAGGCAGGTCAGCTTGTTAACTGGAGATGAGCAGAGAGTTCATATTGTTCGTTTGACTCCCTGCAGGTGGATGCAGATGTTTCTCTCTGTTCTGCCCTCCTCCCTTGTCCTCCTCCCTCGTCCTCCTCCCCTTTTCCTTTGGGAAGGTCGCTGGAGGTCAAGTGGATGCTGAGGCTGCCAGCGGCCTGCAGGGCCTGGGGTTGACCTTCACAGGTCAGCAAAAGGTTTAGCAAATGAGCAACATTAGGACAGAAAAAGAGCTGAATGCAGAGCAGACATACTGTACCAGCTTCGGCTGTGCTGCGGACACCAAGACTGTCCACCACCATTTTCTCCAGGACTTTGCGTGACGCATTCTGCGGGAAAATCCAGAGAGCCTGACTCAGTGATGAGGATCAAAGAACAGACGGAAAAGGAAGATCAGTAATCTGAATGAACTGATAAGGGTGATGCACTGAGCTCCCGGCTTTCCCTTCCATTTGTTGAGAAGAGACAAATGTATAATCTTATTATCCTCTTGTGTGTGTGTGGTGTGTTGAGCGATCCCGTCCACTCGGAATGATGTCGGAACCACTCAAATCTGGGGCGTCGGTCACATTGGATTGTCCTGGCCTGATATGGCACTGTGTGTCATGTTCCCCGAGGACAGAGAACAATGATGCCTGTTGCATGTGACGAGTATGTGATGAAAACACAGACACAAACCGAAGATGACCAAAAACAACTGCCATGGCACACCGGAAAAGACTTAGAGATGACCATCGGATTCAAGATGGAAGGAGCTTAAAGGGGCCAGAGTAGCGAGAGCTTAGTGCTCTAACATGCACAAAGTTTCAACATTAGACACCCTCTCACCTCTATACGCTGTTCCTTATGTACAAATGCACAATACGGCATTTAAAAGAGCCTTTACTGTATGTCTGAAACGACCCCAATGGAAAGCAGCAGGAAGTGAACTGGCAGGTCAGACACTAGATGGCGCTGTGAAGCTGTATGTAGAGCATCTCAGTCCCTCCCTGTTTGATGCTGAGTTTGTGTGTGAATGTGTGAGCACCGTGTTGCGCAGCTGTAGCAGCAGGGTGAGTGAATCTGTGAGTTTGTCCTCCAGCAAAGACAGACGTGTCTTCTCCGCCTCGTCCTCAGGCCTCTGGAGACACACACATACACACACACACACACACACACCCCCCCACACACACACACACACACACACACACACACACACACACACACACACACACAGCGCTCTGTGTCCTGCTCATTGTTGGTCAGAGTTAAAGTTGTACATTATCTTGAACTTCAAATATTTATCCCTAATAATGTCCCGTTTTGTAGTCATTCTTATGCTTAATGATTCTAATCAGGTTGTGATCACAATTCAGAATATCAGTAATAGATCTGACATACCATGACAGACCTTTATACAATTATGTTTGGATCTTTTAGTGGTTAAGATGCTACAGCTAACAAAGTGCTGGGGAGAAAAGGACGGCCACCCATATTTAGGTTTATTGTGATCAATACTTTTGCCGAGGTCTGGTTTTCAGCTGACCTTAGGTAATAACCACTCACCTTTACCTTTCCGAAACGCCCGCATGTGTTTTTGTCCCCTTGGTTTGGCCCCGTCCTGCTGCAGCAATCTGTGCCGTCTGCAGTGGAGCCGGGGCGCTTCAGGAGCTCCAAGCGACTCAGAGAGAGAGGATGATGGACCGTTTGGTTCTGACATCTGGAAGATCACAGATGTCAGAACAACACAAACATTCGGTTATGAACAACAGAGCAGGACGGCGACAGACCCTTCGCTGCAGCCGGGATTGTGTGAGGCGACGCTCTTCTCCTTTGAGGAGCAACAGTTTCCCGTCTCCTTCAGACTCCCGTCGTCTTCCTCTTCGTCAGAGGCGGCCCTCCCTTCCACCGCCCGCTGCAGACCCTCTGCGTCTGGGGAAGAATGAGCTGGAGTTAAACCTTCAGGCGTGACGTGTCCGCAGCTGTCCGCAGCTGTCCGCAGTGCTCCAGTCGTCTCACCACTCGGGTCCTCAGGTTGACTCAACTGGCTCTCAGAAAGGCAGGTGCAGCCGATTCTGCTGGAGGCAGAAACAACAAGGACCATTTAGTGGGGAACGGCAGAAAGTTTTTGACGTCACGCATCCGTCTTTCAGAGAGTCTCGCCGACTTCCGATCACTTCAGCTGGAGAAATGTTCACTGATTTCAAAACTATCACGCCTGGCAGGGTTCCTGTCAGTATATTATAAGCCTGGCAGCCCACCAGGCTTTACTTTCTCCCCTCACCCCCATCCACACCAGGCGAAGAATCAAATTTACTTTAAATGTTTTTTTTTTTTACACCAGTAACAGTGACATTAAAAACAAATTTATCAAGGTTTATAGTTGAAGCATTGAACTGTTAGCCTATGATACCTGCTAGTTCACCTCTGAATTTTTGTATATTTTAATGTAAAAACTGTGTTTTTACGTTGGGCTGCCCTGTCGCCCCCTGCTGGGCTCTGTGGTGACCTGACTGCTTTCAGGGAGTGACGACTCAGAAGTCAGGAAAGGACAGAGGCAAATGAAGTGTAACTGGATCTTGAAACACACACAGAACTCTCCTCCTCGCCCGATGCTGTACCTGAACCGCAGCAGCTCCGTCTCCAGCTGGGTGATCTTGGACTGGAGCTGCGGCACCAAACGGGCCTGTTCCTGGATCAGCCGGACCTTCTGCAGCCCCACGTTGAGCGCCTCTCTCGCTTCCTCCGCCCGCCTCCTGTCAGCATCACAGATCGTCACAAATTTCCAATAAATTTGCTTTATTTTTATATTTCTGAATATCTAGAGCACCTGATCTGGCTGTTCTCCCTCCTCAGGGACGACTCCAACCCCTGCAGCTTCCGAACTTCCTGGTATGCCCACTGCAGCTCTTCCTCCAGACGCTCATTGAATTTGATGGCCTCCTCTAACTGCCCGTCACGTGACGACCGAATCAGTTTCAGTTCTCTCAGCAGGGGGTCTCTGATGTCCCACCTCCTCTGTCCCTTCCTCGTCCCGTCAGGCTGGCTCCTTGGTGTGTCGGTTTGTCCAGGTTTCCCCTGAGTGAGCGCGCCGCAGGGTGTGGGAACTGAAAGGGTGACCCCTTGGCCGCAGGGGCCGGTGGGGGTCCGGCTCCTCTCACGTTTGAGAGCCACCTCCAGGGCCAGACAGCGAGCGTCGCTCCCCTGCAGAGCGGAGCGCAGGTCCTCAACCAGCTCCCTGAGAGCGCCGACCTGATCTGGAGAAGACGCCACGTTAAGAGTGAAGTCCACCACAAGTCAGCGGGAAGAAATTTCACTTTCAAACAAAATCGAGATACCACCATGACGTGTCCAATAAAAGCAATTTGTAGCAAAAAGTGACATTTTTGAAGGTTTGTTTGCAGCCAGTTACTTTAAAAGACAACTAATCAATGCAAAATATCTTCAATCTTCAAATCAGCCAAAAATAATAGTTCTAAAGTATTATCTTAAAATATTTGGATTAAATTAACAAAATACTTTTCAAAAAATCCCACAAAACACCTGAAGGTCAGAAGTTTGATAATATCAAACTTAAATAATTAAAAGTATCGTATCAGTATCGGTCCTGCATTTACTTGGAATCGTGATACCAATATGTGGAGGACCTACGGTACAGAACCGTTAGAACGGCCCAGTCAAAGT